TCTGCCACTGCTCTCACCACTACTGAAATCCCTTCTTCAGTTCTCCCCACTTTTCACCTCTGCTTTGGAAAGGATGGAACTACCACCTAAACTTACTCCCTCCATGACAAAGGGAACGCTTATGTCCCATCATCCTGTATTTACTCCTGCCCATGTGAAGGGGAGACCAATCTGATTGATCAGCACTTGGACCACCTTTCACTAGTAGGCAGGGCTTGAGTTGAAAGGCGATGTGTGGTCACCACATGATCCCTGCCCATCTGTTACTGGGTGCCGGGGCCAACTGATCTCATCACACAGATGGATACTCTAACAGATGGGCGTTCTCTCTTTTGGTTCCAGCTCCTCATCCAGCCTCATGGGGTCTTTGGATTCTCAGATTCAAGAGGAAGAAAGGCGCCAGAAGGACTTGTGTCAACCTTCTGACCTAAGCCACATTCTCCACTACAGCTCTTAACAAAAGCTTTGTCCCTTTACCATGGCATCGATACATAAACAGGCACGTTGTTTTTCATCCTTGAACACACTCCCTCAGGCAGAAACCAGAAGAGAAGGATGATGTAATCCTGAACATCAGTCTCGCACACTGATTTATAACTGTGCAGGATACGCCTTAATGTATAGGTCGTAGGACTTGTTAGCACAACTCCCAGAGACCGCAGAGAAAATCACCCCTGTTCTGGTTCCTAGCTCTGAGTTTAAGAACACTCTGTAGCCGGGCTCAGTGGCTCAGCCTGTAATCCCGCGCCTTTGGGAGGCTGAGATGAGTGGATTGCCTGAGCCCGCGGGTTCGAGACCTGCCTGGGCAGCGAGACCTCATCTCTACAATAAAAAAAAAAAAAAAAAAATCAGCCGGGCGTGGTAGCGCGTGCCTGTAATTCCGGCTACTTGGAAGGCTGAGGCGGAAGGATCACCGGAGGCCGGGAGCAGCCATTGCACTCCAGTCTGGGCGATAGAGACTCCAACTCAAACAAACAAACAAACAAACAAACAAACAAAAACACTCTGTGATTGGGCTGCACTCATCCTGAAAGTCTGAGGGTTCAGTATGTGGTGGTCTGTTATAGCGATAGGGAAGTGAGGCGTCAGGACTGTGTGTGTGCTATTCATTCTGTTCCTGTCTCCACACAGCCCCCCACAACCCACTCCCACAAGCTACTGGTACAGTTGGAGCTGAAGAGTTCCTTTACACTTGGGTGGCCTGTGATCATATTTTTACATTATACGGCTCTGAGATTGATGAAGTGTGCCTGATTCATACGATGTGGTTTCAGGCGGCTATCTACAAAGGTGTGTGTACAATTGCTCCAGCCATGAATAGATGGATGAACGGACAGATGGACGGACGAATGGATGGATGATTGGATCAATGGATGAGTAGGTAGGTGGATGGATGGATCATGGGATAGATCAATCTATGGACGCTTGTTCTGAAGGGAGACATTCATGGTCCCAGAAGGTCTGCTACAACCCTCACTCATTCAGGCATTACCTGCAACTGTGGACTCCTTGGTAAAACTTTTAGACCACGAATCTGCCCTTCTGTCTATCTTAGAAAATGTTGCTAATCTCACTGCCATGTATACCTTCTGCACTGACATTTTGGGAGACATCCTTTGATAAGTAAGAAAGATCCAGTGTCTGAATGAAACAGTGACATGTGTGTTTTGTCTTTCTGACAACCAGTTCTTACTACTGACCTTTGTCAATATACAAGTTGTGTGTGACACCTCTTACTGTGTCATCTCAGATCTTCTCTACCCCATCTGTTTGTGGGGCCAAGGCTACTTGTTCCATCTCAGCTGCCACTGCAACAAACCAGTTCTGGGTGAGCTCCAGCCAGTTTCTGCTTGCTGCAGAATTGCTCAGCACTCACTTATGTGCAAATGCAAATCACAGTTGCAGGGATGGTGAAAGCCCACTCAGAGCCTACCTTTGATACGGGCGACAGAAACTAGTAGATACATTCTGACCCCTTCCTACCTGTGGGATTCCCATAGTTTCTTAGCAGAGTCCTTTGAGATTAAGTTGTGAATGATCCTAAGTGGTGGCTCCTTAGTATCGTTCCTTCCTGTGAAGGAACTCTCCTTCCCAGCTTCACTCCTTTTTCTTACTCTTATTTCCCTGGGAGGACTCTCCAATAAAGTGGTAGCTCGTTAACATTTGACTTCCAGGAATCAGGCTAAGACCTGATTAATGTTATGATTTACACAATGTAGTTGAAGTTAAATACCAGATTTTTGGATCCTACTAGAGGTTCAGCGTGCTTAGCACCTGCCTTCCACATAAACTGGGAGTCATTCATTTTGGTATCCCCAGCACTGAGTATAATGCTTGAATTCTTTATTCCTTTCCATAAAAGAATCACACTACGAGGGTGCTCTTCTTAGATACTTGAATATTCTGCTGCGTGTGGTTTTCAACATTGGTACCATCTTTTTCAAACTCTGCTAGTTTTTAGACTCATTACTACCTTTTTTGGAGCGGTTACTTTTTTTTCTAAGTTTATTATGTGGAATTCAAAAAAGCACAAAGCATTTTCAGTGACAGCTTCTGTGGTAGGCTGAAAAGTGGTCTCCCAAAAGATACCCACGTCTTGGTCTCTGGAACCTGTGAATGTTTCCTCAGTTGTTAAAGTCTTTAAGGATGTGATTAAATTAAGGCTCTTGAGATGGGGAGATTATTCTAGATTATCTGGGTGGGCCTTAAGTGCAATTACATGCATCCTTGCAAGAGGGAGACAGAGGCAGACTTCACACACACACACACACACACACACACACACACACACACACACACACACACGGAGAAGACAATGTGAAGATGTTGGCCTTGAAGATTTAAGTGATGTGGCCACAGGTCAAGGAATGCTGGTGGCTGCTAGAAGCTGTAAGACTCAAGGAATGAATTCCCCTCTAGAACCTCTGAAGGGAGCTTGGCCCTACTGACACCTTGATTTTGGCCCAGTGTTACTGATTGCAGACTTCTGGCCTCCAGAACTGCAAGAGATTACATTTGTGTTGCTTTCAAGTCACCCAGTTTGTGTAATTTGCTACAGCAGACACAGGAAATTAGTACAGCTCCTTCTTAGAAAGGGGTCACCCTCAGAGGTCACCCAACTCAGCCCTACATGGATACAGTTTGTCTTTTTATAGTGTTTCTATTTCCCACAGGCCTATTACTAACTCAAACTTTGCTTTCTTTACATTGTTTCTAATGATGCTCAGAAATCTGGCATTTAACCAAAGCCAGGTTTTGTGAACAGTAACCATAAATGGGACCTCATTTTCCAGGAGAGAACATTAAGATCTAGCTGACCTTTTGCCACTACCTTCCCAGTCCTCACCACGCTAAACCCTTCTCATCCAACAGATCAGTGGTTCCCCAAATGTGGTCCAACAACTGTCTGCATTGAATCATCCATCCCAGACTTACCGAATAAAAAGTCTAAAAGTAAGGTGCAGAAATCTGCACTTTTTTTTTTTTTTGAGTTGGAGTCTCACTCTGTCGCCTCGACTGGAGTGCAGCCTCGACCTGCTGGGCTCAGGTGAACCCCCCACCTCAGCCTTCCAAGTAGCTGGAACTACAGGCACGCACTACCACGCCTGGCTAATTTTTGATTTATTGTAGAGATGAGGTCTCGCCAAGTTGCCCAGGCGGGTCTCGAACCCGCAGGCTTAGGCAATCCACTCACCTCGGCCTCCCAAAGCGCTGAGATTACACGCTGAGCCACCGAGCCCAGCCAAAATTTGCACTTTCAACCAGCAGCCCAGATGACCTACTATAAAAGAAAGAGTCAGAAATGACCCAAAAGCACTTTCCTCTATGACTCAGTGGTGAAGCCTCTGACCCTGGGTCAGGTGCTAAACTTCTCTGGGGGAAGCCATTGCCATGGCTTCCAGTGCTGGATGCTTGTGACAAATACTAGGCTGAGCTCACAGAGAAGCCAAAAGAGTCCTGTCCCCTCATGCTCTTCATGCTGAAAAATAGCTACAAAGGTATTCGGGGAGTTGGGGACCATCAGTACTTTTGAGAAAATGAGTTACCATTAGATAATTCTTACTAACTTTTTTTTTCTTTGATTTGGAGTCACCCAGGCTGGAATGAAATGGTATGCTCACGGTCACTACAGTCTTGACCTGCTGGGCTCAGGTGATCCCCCCACCTCAGCCTTCCAAGTAGCTGGAACTACAGGCACATACCACCACAATTGGCTAATTTTTAAATTTATTGTAGAGATGAGGTCTCGCCAAGTTGCCCAAGCTGGTCTCGAATCTGTGGGCTCAGGCAGTCCTCTCACCTTGGCCTCCCAAAGTGCTGGATTTATAGGCGTGAGCCACCGCACCTGGCCAACTTTTAAATTATAAAGACCCTTGGGCAACAGCTTTGGATTCCCTTCTGCTGTGGGAGCTTTTCTGTCCTCTCAATAAATCCTGCTTTAAAAAAAAAAAAAGACCCTCGCTGAACAATAATAGCTTACAAATGTATGTACCCTTTGATCCTGCAATTCCACTTTTGGGAACTTATGCAACAGGTAGACTTTGCACATATGTGCAAATGTTTACATATATATAAGATTCTTCACTGCAGAACTGATGGTAAAAGCAAAAGGTTGGAAAGTGTCCAAATGCTTACCATTGAGGAGCTGGTGAAATACATTATAGCACATTTGTAGGATGAAAGGTAATGAGGAAACTACATGTGGAAATATCTCCAAGATAGATTATTAAGGCAAAAGAGTAAGGCACAGAATATTTGTGTAACGCATTACCTTTTGTGTATAAAAAGAGAGAGGTAAGAATCCACATTCCTATCTGCCTGTATACGAGTAAAGAAATGCTGAAAGTACAGACGAAAACAGTGGCCACCCCTGGGCCAGGGACAGGAACAGAGTGCTGGGAAACAAGGATTGGAGGGAGACTTTTCAGCCTACATATGGTTAGACTTTTGGGTCTGGAACCATGTGAGTGTATTATTTATTCAAAAAATAAATAATGTGATAAAATATAAAACAAGCATTTATTGTGGATCTTAGAACAAATGATCGGGTTCTGCTTCTCCACGCCTGATGGTCTTGGAGTCCCAGGTGGGGGTCTTTAACCTGGATGCCGTGTTGCAGAGGCCACCACTGTCCGTAATGTTACCCTGAGTCAGACATAGTGTTGCACACCAGAATGCAGGTTTCCATTGTCCAGTGTGGCAGTGGGAGGACTGGCCTTGAGTCTCTTTAAGGAGAAGTAGCTCCACAGAGGTTTTGATGATTTGGGTCCACTGTGCACAGGCCAGCTCTGAAAGAGGAAGGTCCCAGCACGGCGTCTAGTACTGAGGCCTCAGCTGCTCGCGGCTCACGAGGGAGGAGTGGTGGTAGCGGTCCCGGGTGGCGAAGTCTGCGTTCTCCTGGGTGAGCTGAGTCATCTCCATGTCAACCCTGGCCAGGGATGGCGCCAAGATAATCTGCTCCTGGGGAGACTGCAAATTCCTTCAGAGACAGACACAGAGGTTGGTGAGAAGGAAAGGACAAATGGAGACTGTCTACTCAGGATAGAGAAGTCACTTGCAAAAGTGTCAGTTATATTCATTATTTCACATATCTAGCCATATATATATATTTTGTCAGAGTCTCACTGTCACCCAGGCTGGAGTGCAGTAGCATGCTCATGGCCACCGCAGCCTTGACCTGCTGGGCTCAGGTGATCCTTCCACCTAGTCTTCCAAGTAGCTATGACCACAGACGAGCACCACTACACCTGGATAATTTTTTTTTTTTTTTTTGAGTTGGAGTCTCACTCTGTCGCCCAGACTGGAGTGCAGTGGCCGCTCCCGGCCACCGCAGCCTCCACCTGCTGGGCTCCGGCAATCCTTCCACCTCAGCCTTCCGAGTAGCCGGAATTACAGGCATGCGCTACCACGCCTGGCTGATTTTTTGATTTATTGTAGAGATGAGGTCTCGCCAAGTTGCCCAGGCGGGTCTCGAACCCGCGGGCTCAGGCAATCCACTCACCTCAGCCTCTCAAAGCGCGGGATTACAGGCTGAGCCACTGAGCCTGGCTTAATTTTTTGATTTACTGTAGAGACAGGGTTTCACCAAGTTGCCTAGGCTGGTCTGGAACCCCTGAGCTCAGGCAATCCTCTTGCCTCTGCCTCCCAAAGTGCTGGGATTATAGGTGTGAGCCACCGTGTCCAACTTGTTTAGACATTTAAAGCAGAATTGTTGAAAGCTACATATACAAGAATTTATGAACTCAAAGTGTGAGAGATACTAAGTATCATATAATTTAAAGAGAGTGTTATTTACCCTTCTTAAGTAGAAAAGTCCAAAACTGCATCTACCTAAAAGGAGGTAACCCATCCAGAGAGATTTTACCTTCCCAATAGGGTCATGCTGGGGTTCTGGAACTTTTCTTTGCTTTTTTGGTCAAATGAAATAACAGAGTGGAGAGGCTGGAGAGTTTAAATGAGTGGAGAAATAAATGGTCTTGTTGATTTATTGGAAAGAGAGTTGAGAGAGGAGTGACTTCCAGAGCTAAGGCATGCAATGCAAAGAGTTAAGAGATAGACTGCAAAGGATTTTGGTGCCAAGGTGGCCTCAAGAAAAAGAGCAAGTCCCATAAGAGATCTCATTATCACCGGACTCCTTGCATACAATTAGAGTTGGAATAAACTGGTAAAGAAAAATGTTAGGGATACATGGAGAAAGTGCTGGAGGAAAAATGGAGTAAGGAAAGTTTAGACTGGCAATCGAGGCCAGAAGACAGAAGACAGATCTGAGCACAGATCTGTCCCTAGTCAGCGCAGAAGCCCTCTTTACGACCTTGCACCTCTCTTTTCTCATTTTCCCGGCTCTCTTTCAGCTCCTACAATCTGTGTTATGTCCTTAAGTCATAAGTTAGGCATGGATCTTCTCTTTAAAATTTTACTCAAATTGGCCAGGCATACTGGTAGGCCCAGGTGGGAGGATTGCTTGAGCCCAGGTGTTCGAGGCCAGCCTGGGCAATATAGCAAGAACTTGTCTCTACAATCAAATAATTAGCTGGGCGTGGTGGCACCTGCCTGCAGTCCCAGTTACTTGGGAGGCTGAGGTGGAAGAACTGCCTGAGCCCAGGAGGTCAAGGCTGTGGTGAGCTGTGATCATGCTACTGCACTCCAGCCTGGGAGAGAGAGAGAGATCCTGACTCAAGAAAATTTTTTTTTGACTCAAATGGAATCATCCACTTTAGTAATAGTAAGATTCAGTTGTTTAAATAGGGAATATATTTGGAGTTGTCAAGAGGTAGGGATCTAATGTTATAAATCTGTGGAACTTAAGCAGAAAGATTCAACTGTCTCTGGCAAAATGTCCTGCTGTAGAAGTGACTAAGACACTACAGTCATTTCTTGAGAATGTATCTAAACCAAACAGATTGAGGATTTCTGAAAACTGAATTAACTTCTATAAAAGCTGAATCTGGCCGGGCTCAATGGCTCAGCCCGTAATCCCGCACTTTGGGAGGCTGAGGTGAGTGAATTGCCTGAGCCCGCGGGTTCGAGACCCACCTAGGCAACTTGGCGAGCCCTCATCTCTACAATGAATCAAAAAATTAGCCAGACATGGTAGCGCACACCTGTAGTTCTGTTTCCTTGGAAGACTGAGGTGGAAGGATCACCAGAGCCCAGCAGGTTGAGGCTGCGGTGGCCGGGAGCGTGCCACTGCACTCCAGTTGGACGACAGAGTGAGACTCCAACTCAAAAAAAAAAAAAAAAGCTGAGTCTCCAAAAAGCAAGGTTAGGAAATGACAAAAAACGCCATGCCAGTCAATATGTAAGTGTTTTAGCCAATGCATTTACAATTTTTTTGCTAATTTTTTTTTAGGTGAAACCATTATATTCTTCTGAGTTCTGGGAAATAAATGTACTTCACTTTCTAGTCTAGAAAGATGTAAATATCGTCTGGACAGTTGCTAGAGCTTCAGGAAAGAAAGCCTTCTCAAGGTCAAGCTTAACTTCACATGGTTACAGAAAACTGTAGGTATAACAGGGAAGTGATCTAGTCAAATTCTTCTGTCCAAACACACTCTATATTCTTCTTCTTCTTTGATTTTGAAGGGCATTTGGGGCCATAGTTGTCAGGGTGGGGGACATTCAAATCTACAGAGTAGAAAACACAGCTACCAAACTCTATATTTTTAAATAAATCATCATGTCTTGGTCCTTTCACCCTCCTGAATAACCATCCCAAAACAGCCCCCAGGAGCCACGGTGAGGCCAGCAAGTCTGATGCTGACTTAGCTGAGGCCTCTGCCACCCACACCGCAGCCCACAGAGCCTGATGTTTGTGTTGAGAACAGTATATTGCTGAGTTCTACTCTAACCAAAGTACTGTCCTTTTCTAAGGAAAAGCTCTTCTTAATCCAGTCTTCTTTCTACACGGCACCGCAGTGACCTCTGAGATGAAGTCCCAGGAATTCAGACTGCAACGGAAGGAGCGGTGACCTCTCATGGCCATTTTTAAACTTTAAAACCAGAAATAACTAAAAATATTCCCGTAAATTGGGCAAGACCTGAATCTGTAGGCAGCATCTACACAGATCTACTTCCACTTAAACTCTGCTGTCCCTCAGGACCAGGTTTAGGGGAAAAAGAGATCAGTGAAGGCATGTTGTGACCTGGGTCACCCAACCTTGTGCCTCAGATAGGATGAGAGGCAGAGAGGTCACCTACCCTTCCTAGTGCTCCACACAGGACATTAAGCCAAGCCAGCCCAAGCAGATGAAGAGGTTCTCCCCCATATACCACATCCTCCTTCCCTAGGCCCTCTTCTCTTGGTTTCTAGCAGCAATTGCTTCTTCTCATCATCTCAAGCTGTGGCACCAAGGCTTTATTTCTTGTGCTGATGTGAATAGATTGATAGTGCCTGCCAAAAGTTGTATGAAAAAGGATTCTGGGCCAGGCACAATGGCTCACACCTATAATCCCAGCACTTTGGGAGGTTGAGGTAAGAGGATTTCCTGAGCCCACGGGTTCGAGATCAGTCTGGGCAACTTGGCAAGACCTCATGTCTACGATACGTTAAAAAATTAGCTGGGTGTGGTGGCACATACCTGTGGTTCCAGCTACTTGAAAGACTGAGACGGAAGGATTGCCTAAGCCCAGTAAGTCAAGGCTGCAGAGGGCCATGAATGTACCACTGCACTCCAGTCTAGGTGACAGAGTGAGACTCCAACTCAAAAAAAAGAGAAAGGATTCTGGAGAATGGGGAGTTATTGTTGAATGAGTATAGAGTTTCTGTTTGGGAAGATGCCAAGATTCTGGGGATGGATGGTGATCACAGTAGCACAATATGGATGTACTTAGCACCACTGAACAATAGACTTTAAAATGGCTAAGAGGATATATCTTATATTATGTGTATTTGGACACAGTAAAAAAAATATAAGGGATAAAAAGGATTCTGAACTTACATCTGGGATCATTGGGAAAGGCAATGTCTAGACATGGGAGGATATGCAAATGCAATCCAGACATCTAGAGTCTCAAAAGCTAACCAACCAGATGAAACCAAATGAGCACTTGGTTGGGTTCTGCCTGGATTTTCCTAGCCTGTAGCTCTGGCTCCTCACTGATATTGAAAAAGGATGGAAGGGTGGGAATAACTCCCCAGAATCCTGAGGTTTTAAAGGTGAGAAGTACAGGCACTGCAAGAGTGGAGGAGAAGGCAAGAGATTAGGGCACACGGGAAATCCTATCTTGTCTAATGAGGCCTTTTCCTACTTCTCAGGAAAGTTCATTCCATTTGACAGTGTATCTGAACATGGAGCCTCCACAGAACTCATCCAGGATTTGTATTTTGTTTCTGTACTTGGCCTCCACACTGTCCCCAATACAGTCGCATCAACTACCTCTGACTCAAGGTGGAAGAACACGTGTCCCAACTACATTTCCTTTGGACTTAAATCTTGTGTGTGATTATATATTGGCAGTAATATGTCTTAGTCTATGGATTTAAAAAATGTGGTACATATACACACTGAAATATTATGCAATCATAAAGAAGGACAAGCATATGGACTTTGCAGCAACTTGAATAGATTTAGAGTTGATCATACTCAGTGATCTATCACAGAAACAAAGAACAGAGTACCATATGTTCTCACTCATAAGCGGACCTTGAACAATTACCAAATACTATAAGAAAGGGATTGGCAGTAATGGGAAACTGTCAGGGAAGGGGGAGTGGAATTGGCAGTTGAGGGAAACTGCTAGGGGAGGGAGGGGCAAACCTCATCAACAAGGGTACCTGCATAATCAACGTTTGTATACCTAACCCTGAATTGTACCCCACATCTTTATAATAAAAAACAAATACGTCTTAGTCTGTAAACTCACTGAGAGACACTCTCTTGACTTATAACCCCAGCAATCACATCCCAAATAAAGCCTCTGTTCATGAGGACTGAGCATAAGAAGGGAAGAGGACATGAGTGAGAAGAAGCTTCTGCTGAGCTGAAGCCAGGGGCTGGGTGTGGTAGAGGACAGGGAAGAACAATGTCTGAGTCTGCCCATACCACAATCCTATACCACAATCCAGGTCCACAATCCAGGTCCAATTCCTATACCACAATCCAGGTCCAAGCCCAGTCAGGAATGGGAACATCATTAACACTCATCCGTTCTGGTACTGGCCCCAGATTGGCACAAACCTGCAGGAGGGGACCAGAAAAGATCTCATCCATCGGAAAAAGCTGAAGTTGGAGGCTGATCCTGCAGGGAAGACATACATCAATAATCATGAAGGCACTATGTACGCATCTAGAATCCCAGCTTTAATAGGGTGAAGACATGCCCAACACACACAGAATTAGCACAAATATTTTTCTTTTTTCAGTCTAACCAAATAACATTTATTGTAATATTCCCTGAGAGCAGCCTACTAAGGACTTTGTACCCATGTGTGTTTTCCAAATATTTATTTCTAAACTCCAAAATTCCCCAAAGAAGACTGGGTTAAAATGATAAAAAGAAAAACAATCAGAAAAATGTAGGGGACTTGCTAACTTCAGTCTTACAAATTAAAAAAAAAAATTTATAACCTTTTTTTTTTTTTTGAGTTGGAGTCTCACTCTGTCGCCCAGACTGGAGTGCAGTGGCTGCTCCCGGCCACCGCAGCCTCGACCTGCTGGGTTCCAGCGATCCTTCCGCCTCAGCCTTCCGAGTAGCCGGAATTACAGGCACACGCTACCACGCCCAGCTAATTTTTGATTTATTGTAGAGATGAGGTCTCACCAAGTTGCCCAGGCGGGTCTTGAACCCGCGGGCTCAGGCAATTCACTCACCTCAGCCTCCCAAAGGCGCGGGATTACAGGCTGAGCCACCGAGCCCGGATCTTTTTCTAAGTTTCTTAAATTGGAAGAGGGGGTCACTGGATTGAGAACTCTCTTCTAATATAAGTATTTGATGCTATAAGTTTCCTTTATATACTGAGTTAACTATATCCCCAAATTTTAACATGTTGTGTTTTCATTTTTATTCAGTCAAAAATATTTTGTAAATTCACTTCTGCTTTCTTTCTTTGAACCATGGGTTATTTACTTTCCATAGTTAATTTAGGGTTATGTAGTATTCTTTACTTTTTAAACATCTGGGGATTTTTTCTTTCTTTTTTTTTTTTTTTTTAAGGAGAGGGAGTCTTGCTATGTTAAGCAGGCTGATCTCAAACTGCTGACCTAAGCAACCCTCCCTCCTCAGTCTCCCAAATAGCTGGGACTATAGACATGTGCCATTGTGTCTGGCTTATTTAACGACTTTCTGACATCTTTCTGGTATTTATTTCTAATTATTCCCCCCTTTGATCAGACAGCATACTTTGTTATTGAATTTACTTGAATACTTTTACATTTATTTGAGACGGGGTCTTACTCTGTCATCCAAACTGGAGAGCAGTGTCATGATCAAGGCTCACGGCAGCCCAACAACCTGGGCTCAAGAGATCTTCCTGCTTCAGCTTCCCAAGTAGCTGGGATTTTCAGGCACACTCTACCACACCTGGCTCCTGGCTTTTTTTTTTTTAAGATAAGGTGTCTCACTATGTTGTTGCCCAGGCTAGTCTCGAACCCCTACACTCAAGTAGTTCTCCTGCCTTGGCCTCTCAAAGTGCTAGGATTACAGGTGTGAGCCACTGTGTCCAGCCAGAAGTTTTAAACTTATTGAAACATTTTTATGTTCTAGAATATGGTCTATTCTGGTAAGTATTTAATGTGTACCTGAAAACGATGTATATTTTGCTGTTAATGGAAAGAGTGCTCTATACATGTCAATTAGGCAAAGTTGTTGACAGCGTTGATTTTATGTGTATTTCTTTTATCAGTTACTGGGAGAAAGGTGTGGAAATCTCTGACTATAATTATGAACTTTTCTATTTCTTCTTATAGCTCTATCAGTTTTGCTTCATTTATTTCAAACATCTGTTTTTGTGTGCATAAATGCTAAGCTTTATTATGCCTTTCTAATGAATTTTTCTCTTTATCTGTATGAAATTAACCTCTTTATCCCTGTAATATTCTTTGCTACAAAATCTTCGTCTGGTGTTAATATAGACTCTCCAGTTTTCCTTTGATTAATGTTAGCCTGGTATATTTTTTTTCCATCCTTTTACTTTTAACCTATTTGTGTCTTTATATATATATATATATATATATATATATATATATA